GTTTCTATAATGTACGACGATGGTTGCTTAATTAAAACTGACTTCTTCTCACTCACTCATTTGTGTCCTTTTTTGTGGTGAGCTACAGTGTCATTGACACTTTCATTTACAATCTGAACAGTCTTCTGTACCTGGACATTCGACTTTGGGTAGTGTGGGCTGGACGTTGTATGGTTAAAATCTTATTCCCTAGCAAACTTCTTGAAATGCTCAGAATCATAACACGGACCATTATCAGAAAATACCTCTTGGAGTACACCATGTATCGAAAACAGATTCTTTAACCCCATTACTACTGCACTGCTTGTGTGACTGCTGATCTTTACCACCTCTGGATAGCAGGAATAACAGTCAACTGCTATCAGGTAGTCCTTTTTATCACATACACATAGATCTGTGGCAACCTTTTGCCATGGACCCCCCGGTGTTTTATGTGGACTCAGAGGCTCGGCTTGTTGCCTGTCTCTGTAAGTCAGACACGCATCACACATCTTAACTTTGTGCTCAACATCCTTATTTATCATAGGCCAATACACAGAATCTCGAGCTCTTTGCTTACACTTTTCCATCCCCATATGACCTGCATGTATTTTATCAAGTATCGACTTTCTCAAGCTTTGTGGGACAACCACTCTATTGCCTTTCATGATGATGCCGTTAGTCACGGTCAATTCATCTCTAAAGTTCCAATAAGGATTCAATATCTCTGGGCATTTAAACTTATCACTAGGCCACCCTGGCCTTTCAGAATTACCTCTCTAAGTTCATTCATTGTCTCATCTTTGTCAGTCTCCACTCGAATTTCTTCTAGCTTTCTATCAGCTACGGGAATATGCTTCATGACATTGACAACATGCGCACTTACTTCAGTTTCAAAACTGGTATCACCTGTGTCTGGTAGATAATTGCGGGACATGTCTGCTGTAAACATTAGTTTACCTGGTTTGAACTTTAGCTCACAATTGTACTTTTGCAATCTCAAATGCAGTCTCTGTAATCTAGCTGGGCAGTCATTTAGAGCTTTACTGAAAATAGCGATCAGCGGTTTATGATCTGTTTCAGCTTCAAACCTGCGCCCATACACATACTGGTAGAACCGTTCACACCCAAAGATATACTAGAGCTTCTACCTTTTTTATCATGCGCGTATCTCTGGTTCACACTCTCTCATGGCGCTAGGGAACGATATGCTACGGTAACAGTCTTCCCGTTCTAGGGATTTACACTGAAGCAATCAAATCAGATCAACCATTCCAAGTGCATAAAATCTAATATTAAAAAATAAAATAAGATCTAGTTAAATTGTCGTTTTTCACCTTTATTTCAAGGCTGTGAGATTTTAACCAAAGATGGGAAAGTGAATTTCTGAAGATAATAAAATATGGTTCTGTTATAACTGAGAATTTTTAATCTGTTGTGGTTTGGTATGACCATGTAAAATTACAGCTTTTATCTCTGTAATAGCAATGTAAACATAGTCTAAGACACTGGCAATGACTACTCTCAGTGTCAGCATTATGGTCAGCTATGATTTAACTCTATATACACTAACTAGTGACTATCAATTCTACTTGCAGCTTAGTAGCTAGTTAAAACTGGAGAAGTGGTCACAATCCTGAAAATCGCCGACTCGGGTGACTCCTTGCGCGTCATCCTCGGTGCTATATATCCTCACGTGTGCAACTTGAAGTTAGGCCCAAACAAATATATGTGTGGTTACGTTTACATCGCGGAAAATAGTGGTAGGTAGCGTCCAGTTAGAAGAAACACATTTATTTTCTTGAAATATTTATTACGAATCCATGTCGAAGGATGCTGATGTGTTTGCGCTGTTCTGAAGCTGTAGGAACTGAAAACATGTTAAATAATGAAAAAAATTAGTAATTCTGATTTATAAATATGTTGTTTACATTATATATTTTCGCTACTTCAATTAGTTGTGTTGATATAACACTTTGGATAGTATAAGAGGTCATTTAAAGCAAGGTGGTTGTCAGTAATTTATGTAATAATTTCAAAACTTTTTTTTGTTTGTTTTTGTCTTCAGTATGATGTTGTCGCATCATCAATTTTCCACCAGTATGGCAGAGCTATTCCAAGTAGAATATGCAATTCAAAGCTGTTAGAAGAACAGCGAGGTGTGTTTCATTAATTTGTATGTTTAATTGCTACAAGTTAGTAATATAAATCATTACCTGATATTAACTTTGTAATCAAATTATTTATTCTATAATAAATAATGACAAGCTACAATGGATTACAGGGGCACTTTCTGGTCTATTCAATAGAAGTCTATATATTTAAATACAATAAGAAGTAATGTGTCATTTCTTTTAACTTCTCCTATTGTGATGCTATCTCTTGCTGATTGGTGTGCTTGTTTAACTAATGTACTTTTTATTTCGTATAGCACTGCAATTGCAATCAGGGGCAAGGATGGTAGGTTGTATGTTGCTGTTGAAAATTCATCCTGTCCAAGTCTGTATGAGAACAGGAACTAACAAACGTATTACACAACCTAGATTCACACATAGGAATGGTAAACATTATGTAATTACATGTAAATACAAACTAACAAACGTATACACAACCTAGATACACACATAGGAATCGTAAGCATTATGTAATTGCATGTAAATACAAACTAACAACTGTAGCATAATGTCTAATGGCAGAAAAACTACCAATCAATCAACTATACCATATCTAATACATCTAATTACAATTCATTAACAATCTACAATTAATTTGAAATGATTTATCCTGGTTTGTGTTTTCTGTTTAGGCAATGGCTGGTCTACTGTCTGATGGCAGGAGCCTTGTAGACGTGGCACGCACTGAGGCCTCGAACTACAGGATGGATTATGGTTCATCCATCCCACTGAAGGTGAAAGCGAAATCACTGACACTACCAAAAGTTCTTATTCTACATCTCAATTGTACAAGTACACAAGTACTTCCATTACTTTCCATTTAGTAGTCTGTTACTGGTATTTCTTTTGTGTTGCAGACGATGGCAGATAGAATGTCAATGTACATGCATGCCTACACTCTATACAGCGCTGTCCGTCCCTATGGTTGCAGTATCGTAATTGGTTCATATGAGGATGGGAACCCACAGATGTACATGGTTGATCCATCTGGAGTTGCTATGGTAAGCGCATGCATGTTTTGGTATTATCCACACATTTATGTGAACGTATATAATTTATTTCCTTCAATTATTTGTTATGATAATATAGGTAAATTGACAAATGAGCAACATAAAGCTAAATTTAACCCCAATGTTGTTTACTTATTTTTGGATGTCTTTGGATAATATAAAGTGGTAATATAATGTATGAGAAATACCAAGTGAGAGACAAATCAATATGAGTGAAAACTTGGCAATAAAATAAAGAGCATAAAATATATGTAGAAATATATATGTAGAGGGTATTGTGCAAGATCTATATTATTTTCGTAGGACTCATTAAGGTTAGTTAACAACTGTTTCTACTTTTTTTACAATCTATTAGGGATATTATGGTATTGCAATTGGAAAGGCGAGACAAGCAGCAAAAACGGAGATTGAAAAACTGAAGGTACTAAGGAGTTGCATGCTTTTGATTATTATATTTGTATTAAGATAATAGTGTAAACGTTCTTGTACAAATGTTATACCCACATTAAATTTATTTTATGAGTATTTAATTCATCACTAGCTTATTCTGATTTCTAAATATAATGATGTGTATCTGTTTGTAGCATTTGCATATACACCCATTCCATGGATTATTAACATATATTGGCCCATTCTAATTTTACTAGTACTGTAGCTGTAACAAGCTGTTTTTAGCTCAGCTGACGAAGTCAGATGCAGCTTGTAGAATCGCATGATTGTTCATCCGGCCGTCCGTGCATCAACAGTTGGGCACAAATCTTTACTGCTTGACGTACGGTCTTGATATTCGGGACGTCGGAGGGTTCGCGAAAAAGAATCGGGATGTCGAATTTGGGGGGTCAAGGGTCAAAGGTCGAGATGTGTCAATTGGACGGCGGAATATATTTCCCCCTTACGCTTTAAGGTATAGGGAGAATACGGAATTGCGGCACAAATCTCAAGCGGCTGACTACGCTCTTAATTTTTTAGCCTCATCTGACGAGTCAGATGCAGCTTGTAGAACGCATGATTTCCGTTCATGTCGGCCGTCCCGCTGACTCGGTCACGATATTCGGGCTGTGGGGGTAATGCGAAACGAGTTGGGATGTCGAGTGGGGTCAAGGTCAAGCGGTGTTAAAAAGAGGAACATTCCCTCCGTCTAACTCTAGGTATAGGGAGCAAATGCAGAATTCGGCCAAATCTAAACGGCTCGACCCTGGCTCGTGATAGTCGGTGGTGATAAGCATCATGGTAGGAAAAGCCTATCACTGCTTGCGAAATTGGCGAACAGGTCACAGTCAAAGCGTCAATGGCCGGACAAGGCAAGATTTTTAGACATTTTCTGAGACATGTCTGATCGGAGCGATGAAACACTTTTTTGTATTCAGCGGGTGACCTAGCATTTTTATGGCCTTTATTGAAAAGGACCATGAAATCTACTTTCTGGCTGACATGCGAAGGTAAGTGTTGATAGCCTTTTGCCCTTCAAGAGGAGGCGTTAAACGATGGATTATGCTTCACTGTTAGAAAGAATTTGACTTCACGGCTTTGCTAGAGATCTATACATTGCGCCTGGATGTATGAGGCTACAATGTCGCAGTGAAATTTCAAAGCCCCTAAAATTTTGGTTGAGAAGGTTTATTGCCCTTAAATCGTTTATAATTTCTATGGCTTACTGTATCTAGTCAGGTGTGTTATATGTAACTTATGCCACTGCAGTCGGCCGCTACAGCTGCATCGGTCGGTGGTGATAGCTACTGCTGTAGTTTTTGCCTGTGTTAATTAAGTTACAGAGTGACAGCTTTCTATTCAAACCTCGTAGGCTTGCGTTAGGTAATATGGCTATGAGTTCTTACCTATTCTGTCTTGCAATAGTTGTTGCTAGCTACGACGATGGGAGCTTCCATCTTTATCTTAGACACTTAAACGTGACGCGCCATCTGTGGCAAACTTTCAATAACAATCAACAGAACATTCTTTGAGAAGGTTCCTGATACCATCCTAGTGCCTCGTTCCACTGTTTCGGCGCTGTATGTGACAATTTGGGGACTAACAGGGTTTACTAGAATCCCACCACTCCACCACAGAGTCACCGCAGTAGACGTTAGATGAGCGCTGTCGCTCCGCGGCACTTGTTATCACTTTATTGAAAGGACAATGAAATCTACTTTCCGCTGACATGCGAAGAGTAAGTATCTGATAACCTTTTGACCCTCAAGAGGAGGGTTAAACATGGATTTGTTGACTGTTAACAAAGGACTGAACTGCTTTTGCTATTAGAGCCCCCCAACCACCACCACCACCACTACGCTCGCGCTCGACGCATATCCATGATAACGTTGATATATCGAAGTCATTAAAGTTACACAGCTATATCTTTATTACTGTACTACCGGTATAGCAAAGCCTATCAACGCGGTGGCGGGAGGGCGCACTTGATTGGGTTGCCAGTCAGTTTATCAGAAAAATGCCCGGCTACAGTACACGTCAGTTGAGCGCTGTCGCTCTGCGGCACTTGATTAAACAAAATGGTTAATTGACTTTACAGTGAACCAGATAAAACTGGTAGCGATGCTGTACCTTGTATTGTTTGTAACATTCTTGTTGATTATGCATTACAGATGACGGAAATGACTTGCAGAGAGCTAGTGAAAGAAGCTGCAAAAATGTTAGTCGAGATTTTAACACTCGCTTTTTTATTTGTGTTATGTTCAGCTTTTAAATGATTATTTTTATTGTAGAATAATGTAACACTATGTACATAAAGATACCAGATTTCATTCTTTTATTTCATAATTTTGGCTTTACATTAGATAAACTAGATGCACCTTGCCTTCTAAAATGGTACAAATTACATTGCGCTGTTCAGTCTTTGTACCTGCTCAATGTTTCTTAAAATAGCTTTGTTCTTCTCTAGCATACACGTAGTTCACGATGAAGTAAAGGATAAAGCATTTGAATTGGAACTAAGTTGGGTTGGTGAAAGTAAGTACAGAGTTCTGGCAGTGAAATTTTTTTTTTCTGGGGCTCTCTTTGCAAACCCCCCAAAATTTTGGGGGCTACTTTTTCATTTTCCAGGGCTCTTTTTCCACTTTCCAAGGCGACTTTCCATGGGCTGTGCACATCGACACTGCGTACGTGCCTGCTGGCAGGGGTGGCATTGATTGAAGTACGAGGGGGGGGGCACGATTGTTTCAGCGTGGTACTAATCACTACTAAAATGTAGCTCTAGGGTTGGCATTGCTGGACTATGAGAGAGCGACAGCAAAACTCTTTCGGGGAATTGACGAAAAAGCTACAATCGGGAATGACACACGAGTGTGCCGGCAGGGAAAAATATACGTGTGAATTTCATTAGGATTTTCCATGGATTACCATTCTATAATCCTATGGGTCGATGGTCCTACGGGTCTACGTAGGAACGCCCGCAGGCACACCCGCACACACGCACGCCTGCAAGCACACCGGCACGCGCGCAGGCACACACGCAAGCACGCCCGCAGGCACACCGGCACGCACACACGCAAGCACGCGCACAGGCACACACGTATATACGCGCGGGCGGCGGCGCGCGCTTGATTGAATGCAATATAGTACAGTACACACATGCATACTTAAATGATAAACACTTGACAGTCACACCGTACCATGAATTCTACCGCGCCGTGGAACTGGCTGCCGCTAGCGGCAGAGGCCTAGGCATCGCAGCGCAGCAACGCCGAGCGAGAGTGGCAATGTGCGGGACCGACCTGGACAATCAATTTCCAGGGCGACCTTTTCTTTTGGGGTCGCCCCCGATATCATGTTTTCGGGGGCTCTTTTTGGCATTTCGGGGGCGAAATCGCCCGCCGCCCCCATGTATTTTTTCCACTGAGTTCTGGACTGTATGGATTTATGTAAATTCGCTGCATAGACTTGCAGTAAACAATTTCTTCATGAGACTCTTTATGACTTCTTTATGAGCAGATTGATTTAGTTTACATTTATTGAGTAAATCATGAAGATTTTACTATTGAAATTTCCATGAATAGTTTAAACTTGTTGGCATGTGATGTAAACTGCCAACTGTTAACGATGTGTCATCCTTCTGCTTGCGAGAAATTAGTTTGATCTTCTTTGTGTGCAGTGACTGGAGGAAAGCATGAGCGTGTGCCAGATGACCTTAGAGCAGAGGCTGAGAAATACGCCAAGGTAAAATCTTACAATATTTATGGGTACTACATTACCTGTTTGTTTTACTGATCTATCGCGTCTCAATCCTGCACTTCCATATATTATTTTAAACTGAATAACAGGTGTATGACAGTATGATGTCAGTTCTGAAAAACATGTGACTGCATTGACCAAGTTGAAATCTGGCTGAACAAAAGTACTGAATGAGGCTGTATCATAGTCTTACCTATATGTCATGCCAGTTTAAAGCTAGATAGAATATTTCTCATTTTATTTGATTTTTAATCTGCTTTAGGAGGCTTTGGCAGAGTCAGACGAATCTGAAGATGAGGACATGTGAGGATTTCTCCAGATACTGATGTATACTTTAGTTATGTTCTTATTGTCGTATGCTAGCCTGAAATCTTCACGCAAACATGCAAATGTGTGCGAATATGATTTGTATTATAATAATGTCGTGTCACAAAATTGTGTGTTGGCGTTTCCTATGTAATAAATTACTATCAGTGATGTTCACGTGTGCCAGTTATCTGTAATTCGCAATTTCACTTTCTATTGTAAAATAATGTGAACGTTTTTAGCTCATCTGACATAGTCAGATGCAGCTTGTAGAATCGCATGATTGTCCGTGCGTCCGTCAACAGTTGGGCACAAATCTTAACCGCTCGACGTACGGTCACGATATTGGGGGGGGGGGTGTAATCCGAAAACGAGTTGGGATGTCGAAGCTGGGGGTCAAAGGTCAAAGGTCAAGAGGTGTAAAAGAAGGGGGAACATTC